TTGTGAAATTTCTGATAGTTGGATAATAAACCGTTTTATTGTAATTTGTCTTTTTAAATTATTTTGAGTCGATATTAAAATTTGGAAAAGGGGGATACCTAGATCGGTAAAATACGCGAATTTCTTCCTACAACTTTGGTTGTTGTTTGGGGTACAGTTAAGGTTTTAACGAAGTTCAAGCGAATACATAATTAGCAAAAAAAAGTTGAAATAAAGTGATTAAACAAAAATTATTACAAATATCATAAATAACAGTTCACAAATGCATATATAAAGATATTTTTTGAAGGGGGGGAAATGGTCTTCACAATTTGAAATCGATCGAAATGAAGGACACACACACACACATTCATTTTTATATATACAGATTTCTGAAAATATAGCAGACACATCAGATCTACTGGAGGAGTGTCTTCTGTTAAATCAAATGTGTCTTAAAAACATACATTACTAACAAACTTAAAATGTGCAAGATGTGTTAAAATGTTATAATGCATAAATATGATAAGTTAATTACAAGTATTACAATGTGTATTGAGTAATTTATAATGACTCCCTAAAACTGTATAACATCAAGTACTCTGCGAATGGTTAAGTGGGCTACTCAAAGTCGGCATAGTTGCAACCAAATAGTTAAATGTGATAATCTTTGTACAGCAAAATGACTCCTGGTCACGCATGATGTGGAAGTAGGCCAATTTTGAGGGACCATATCTTACAAAGAGTCGTGCATAGAGGTATGGTTCTTTTTTGCTCCTATGGATGCTGTCTACAGCTCCAATAAGGTCCCAACCATCTCATTCAAAGGTGTAATTGTAGCTCAGAATCTACATTGAAATACAAAAAAAAAGCAAACAAAAAAAATATATATAAGATAGCAATAAACTGAACATTTATGGCTTTTTAAAAGGGCATTATTGGTACCCAAAAAAATTCTGTGTTTTGGAAACATCTGCCTAATACTACCATTTAAAATGAAACAAGAAAAAAAACATTAAGAAAAAATTCCCTACAATGAGTAATGTAGAGGAGAAAAGGGAGAAGTGGGACACTTGAATTTTCTGATCTCCTATTTATTTATTGTAATTCTTTATTTGTCCCCAAGTGAGAGTGACAGCACTTGTATTTTCTTATAAAATGGCTGATGAATCGTTTCAACAGAAGAGGCTTTAGAAGAGAAAATTACATTACAATGCTCCAGGTAAATATTAATACCAATATCTGATGTAATCTAAAATTTTATGTTTAAGATAACTTTTAATGCTTAATACAAGAATTGAAAGCAATATTTTAATAGTACACTTTTGCTATATTACTTCTTTGCGATTTCCACCATATGTTTAGTTATAGCAAGTACAATACAAAATCTCCCAGTAGGAGGACTGGGACACTGCATAATAGGACTGCGTAATAATAATTTTCCTGATATAGTGTTAAATTTTATAGTCTTTGTCTTTATTTTCAGGAAAAATGCCACATAAATGGAAGAAGAAAGATCCAAGAAAATCAACACCAGATAACAGTATGATTCTTAAAGCAGTGAACATGGTGTGCGACAACGGAAAAAGTATAAGGAAAGTTGCAAAAGCCATGAATTTATCAAAATCAGCACTAGCAAAACATGTAAAAAAATTTAATAGCATTTCAGACATGGAGTCTGTAGTATTCTAGTCTAACCTCATTTGTGGAATGGTTTTCTCTGTGGAGAAAGAAGTAAAGTTAAAAAATTACTTGCTTAGTGCAAGTAAAATGCACTATGGCCTGACAACAGTGTAGATAAAAAATTTGACATATGAGTTTGAATAAAATATATCCCAGTGCATGGAATCTCAATAAAACTACAGGATATGACTGGTTCAAAGGGTTTATGAGACATCATTTGCAGCTTTCATTGCAATCAACAGAAGCCACTAGCTTAGGAAGAACTACTAGCTTCAATAAAAAGAATATTGATGACTTCTTGGACAAAGTGAAATATATTTATGAAAAATATATTAATTTATCTGCATACAATGTCCAATAAATATTTGCAATGATTGTTGGTTCATTATCTTATGTTCTCAGTTAAATATTGTTTCACAGTATTCTGAATAAATTATTTATTTATAATCATGTAGTAAAATTTTCTTTTAATACCTCATATCAAGCATTTCAAGAAAGTACTGTTGTAAAATATTATAAGGTACTGTACTTTACAGCAAAATCTTGTGCTGATAACATGACTATTTCAGTAAAACTAACATTGCACAGACACACATATCATTAATAACTATTTATATTTGCTAAATAAGTATTTTAATACAAATTTTATGTGAATTTGTTATCCTTTTATGAACTGTCCCATTCTCCCATTTACTGTCCCATTCCTCCCTTCTATTAGGGTTGAGTTGGACACTTGTCACAGCATACAAAACTTATAATTTTTCTACCAAATGTTAGCATTGTTTCGAAACTTCCAATATTTTTCAGAAGGTACAGATGGTTCAAACTAACAAGATAAACAAAAAAGATTCAAGAGCTTTTTCTTTGCTTATGTTTTTGACATACTTTTCCCAAAAGTGTCCCATTCCTCCCCTAAATAATTACCCATTATCATTTTTCATTGATCAAGTAGCCATTTTCTCTTTTGCAATAAAAGCTAATTTTATTTTTAAAAAATGATTTCAATAAAAGTATTTGATGTGTGCGTAAATTTCAAGAAATAAAACTAATAAGCAACTATATTTATTTTCTTTCCAAACTAAATATTTCATTTCTTCCCACTTTTACGTCAATTTGACGTCATTTTATCGGATCGTCCATTATAAAACCGAAGAAATGATGTCAAATTGACGTAAAAGTAGACTCTGACGAAAGAGTGCTTTAATCAGATCAGATGACATCTGGCAGACATTTCGATTTTTCTCCCCCTGTGAATTGTTTATAATTTATTATCACCACACAAATGATTTATTAATAGAATTTTCGTTAAATTCTTCCATATTTTATCGTTTTGGAGTATAATTTTAGGCGAATTATGGCTATTTTTAGTAGTTTAAATATGGCCTTTAAACAAAAGATTGTTTGTAAACACAATTAACAACGTCACAATGAAAACAAAAATTGATATTTATTACTTTAAAAAGCAACTTATTAACTTTTTTATTCACAAATTTTTCAATTAAACGATATAAAATAAAGAAAGGAAACGTATACGGGACACTTGTACTTCCGACTTCAATTATTATTTTAAAAAAAAATAAAAGGTTTAAACGTACCTTCTGCGTTCCATTCTATCTCTAAACGCCATTTCCTCTATTTCAATGACCTTTTAATAAATATATATTTTTTAATTTTGATAAATATTTACGATAAAATTTTCGTAAAACATTCACAATTCGATTCCAAGATGGCGGTAAGTCGAACGAAATTGCTATTAAAGTTGCCGGATTACGTTCGTCGATAATCACCAAAAACTACAATTAAGTTAGCCAAAAAGAAAAATAAAATATAAATTATTTTAAACAATTTTAAAATAAAATTAAAAAAAAAAAATCTGAATTCAATAAGTGTTTATAAATAAAAGACAAGGTTGAAATAGACACTTTTACGTAAATTCCGAAGTCATATTCTAGAAATGCTCGTTATAAAATCGAAGAAATGACGTCAAATTGATTTTTTAAACACCACTTTGTGGACACGAAGAGAGGCTTTTCGGTAAACCCATTATGGGTTAGGTAAGATTATGGGCCGGCCGGGCGGTGAGAGACCGGACCCGACATATCCGGATGGACCAACCCTGAAAAATTCGTGGGGTTTGTCGACTAATTCGGATTCAATGCCGGGTTCCACAATGATATAGGCTGCCAACTTAACAACTAGGCCAGTCGACGTCAAATTTTATAAATGTATGCCGTCTGAACCAAACGAACAGGTCGAGGATATGGTTTTACTTCTTAAAAGGAAAAGTATTAATAGTTTTTGGCGAGACCGGATGGCAAAAGCGGTCAAGACATTAGTCTATCGTTCTGGGAGCCGGAATCGAATTCAGACGGGCTAAAAACTTCAGGAATTCGGATATAACATGCTCTGTCTCTTACTAGGCGGCCGTCCCCATTGCGGCCTGGCCGAACCCACAATGGCCTTTTTATGAAAATCATCGCTGATTCGCCTGGTCGAAAAATCACAGAAAGGATTTTTTCGACCTCCCGATTATCAAATTACTTGTCCATGGACAGAGTTAAAGAATGGGAAGCTGTGTACACATCATCTGTGTGTAAGCAATAGGCTTTCAACCTCAGAAGACTTTCTAAAGAAACTATCTGAAACGCCCATGGTTGTTGAACTCAATTTATAAGATATTATTACTGAAGCAAATAATATATATATGATTAAAATATCAAGCAACTTGTCTTTTAGACTGTATCGTTGCTATCGCTGTCAATATATAATAATACTATTTGAGTTCTTGCCATTTGAAATTTATTTTATTTGCTAACTTCTAATTCATTATCTGCCTGTAAATATGAAAATTGAAATTCCATTTTTTTAAACTTATCCTAAACTCTTAACGATCTAATCTGATTTTAAGAACAGTCTATATAATTTCTAAAAGTCCGATCTCTATTGACTTCTCTCTCTAATCTGTTCCTAACCTTTTTTGGCTCAACTTTAATTACTCTCTATCTCATTAATAAACACTATATTAATTGTAAATAACATATACCTTAGCTCTTTTGTCACTGCATTCCTGTAATAATTCACCTAATATTAATAGGCTTAAAGCGTTCGGAATGGCAGAAATATTTATTACTCCACTTTCCTAGCATTACAGCCATTGGGAACTGAGATCAATTTTAGTAGATTCTGTTATAACGGAGTTGAGCTGTATGTATATTGTACTTCGTTTAAAACCCCCTGAATAGTTTCTTTTTTACAGTTTAGAAAGCTATTCTGGATTATCCGTGTTTTCCAGTATTCGTGCTCACCCGTGCAATAATTAGCACGGATAATCATAAGTTCGGTACAGTGTGTTGCCTCAGACATCACAAGTCTTGTTCCTTTTCTTTTTTACACAAATCTTGAACTTAGTTATCGTAGTAAATACAATAATTTTCAGCAGTTTTATACTTCCAAACTTCGACGTTTTTATTAAAGCTATAAACTTTTAATTTTATTTTATTTTTCGCTTCTATTCAAGATTTTTTTAGATTAAAAAAACATTACGAAAGCAAATCAGAAAATTTCTTTCATATTCAAGTAAATTTTTCATGAATATTCATGAAATTTATAAAGATATAGTCTATATCAAATTTTTTAAATAACGTAATGTCATCGACGACAACAATTATACAGCCAGCTTTTTGGTAATTGTTAATGAATCAACAATACAAATCCATTTGCGGCCGGATGGCCGAGCGGTCAAGGTGGCAGCCCAAGAAGCACAGAGAAATGGTGACGATTGATAACATACGGATGATGCGGCCGGATGGCCGAGCGGTCAAGGTGGCAGCCTACCGCCCTGGGGTACCCGGGCTCGAATCCGAACGGGTCGAAAAATCCCTAGAAATTTTTCGGGGGTGGTCCGTTTGGAAATGTCAGGCCCCGTCCCTCACCACCCGGCAGCCCCATTGTGGGCCTGGCCGAACCCATAATGGGCTTGCAAAAAGAGGCCCTCCTAGTGCCCACAGGACGGAAAGAGTTATAAAAAGAAAAAAAAATACAAATCCGAGTGTTCTTTGTTCGAATCAAGACGCCATTTTTCATTTCTTTGCATTTTTCAAAAAAAAAAAAAAAATGCATGGTTTTAGAAGAAATAACGCAAGAATAAAGCTAAGAAATGGCAGAATAATCTGGGAACAGGGAAAGAAAAAAGAAACAATGTATTTCATGATAGATTTCAGCCTCATGATAACACTTCAGCTTTGTTTCCGACTACCATCAGAGACGAGAGCTAAGCGATTATGGTGTTATCAGTATTTGAAGATTATTGGGCTGTTGTATAGATTACTCCCGGTGGAATTTCGGGACTTTGAGCATATATCTGAACTGAGGGGACCGAGACGAGTTCAACAGTATCCTATTTTTGGAGACGAAAAATAAGAAAGTTATCATACTTACGATTTCTTGCCTTTCACGGTGCATTTTACGCCATTTCAGAGTTTTCCATGGTAATGTATTTAATCCAACCGCGCGTAGACTTGCAGCCTTGAATATCGATTGAGCTGAAATAAAAGGTTTTCTATTAGACTAACTAGTGACGGTCACCTCCCGGAGAGATAAGTTACATTTTCTGGACAAGCCGCGAAAGTGGCGCGTAGTGCTAGCCGATCTCGAGCTAGTCGGAGGAAAAGGGGCCTTAGGCCTCTACCCGTGGATCAACATCTGCCTCTGTTAAAGATGAGTGTACAATATGTTTTTTTGGCCTTTTACGTGGGCAGTTTTCTTTAGTCTTTGCCGATGTGTATTTAGAATATATGGCCGGACTGCCTGTTAAACACGCGATAGACTTAGTGGAGAAAGCGACGCGACTCCAGTTCGCGATCGTCGGAAATGACGTAGGCTATTCTTTACCGGGCTAGATCTCGTGAAGGGTCGCGCGTAGAGTTATGGTTCTTTTGACTTTTTTGTTCTCAACGTTTTAAATTTATATTTACGATTTCTGGATAGCCCGATTTCTTGCCTTTCAGTAATTTTTGAATATTTTGCACATTTCCACCGCTAGGCAGCGGTACTAGCAACTAAGGTTGGACCGGAGACGAAAAATAACAGTTATCATATTTACGATTTCTTGCCTTTCACAATGCCTTCTACACCATTTTAGAGTTTTTCACTAGGTGGTGTTTTCTGATTCTTTATACACATTGTCTCTATTAAAAAAGTATTTCATTATCTCATCATGTTTATTGATAATCAAACTTTAACAACTTCGGCGGTACATCGATGGACAGCCAGTAAATCGGAATTTATGAGATGTTGCGGTTAAGGGACAGATTCGTATTGAGGATACGTCGGGGCCCATTGTAACGTGGGCATTTGAACCAGTAGTGATACGATGTTTCCTCTGTGCCGCAGTAAGAGCACGCCGGCGAGTCGCGGAGGCGACGGGAGTGTAAGAAAGCATTCAGCGGAGCCGTGTCTATGCTAAGGCTGATCAGCAATGTTTCAGTTTGGCGGGACGAGGCATAGTGATAAGACCACTTGGCGAAAGGGCGAATGTGGTCGCGCCCATTCCTGCGAAGGTTTGGCGTCCATGCGTCGATGAGGTTTTGGATGGTTGAACTTCTGACGCTCTTAGATCATTCAGCTGTAGCGGGCGCCATATTGTGCCGATAGAAGTGCCAGTTCGTGCGCCCTTGTCGGCTTCGTTGACTGGATGCCCGTATGGGCCGGGGTCTACCCCATGGCGAGGGGTGTTGAAAATGATGTGATAGTCGCCGCCAGGTCTATAATGAGTGGTAGTGACGAATGGGCGACCGTCGCCCATTCATCACTACCACTCATTTGAAGGACTGATCGGATGTTAGAAATGATGACCGTCGGGCGGCGGAGGGGCTGACTAAGGTGAAGGGCCCGCTGGATGGCCAGGGCCTTCGCTCCGAAGATGCTATAACTTTCGTCTATTTGTCATGTTTCAGTGATTTGATGATAAGGGATGACCACCCCGACGGTCGTCTTGAGTGGGGTTTTTGAAGCGTCCGCTCCGATAATCATCCAGTCTTCTCACCGATTAGAGACTTTCTCTTGAAAGCGGGCGCAAGTGACTGCGGATGGATTGGGTTCCGCTGTCGGGAAGATGTTTAGGTGTAAAAACGGTTGCAGATGCATGGCGTCCGGTGGAGTAGTTCTTATAGCGGTATGCACATAGAGGTGAGTAATGCTTTTGCGAAGCTTTCTAGTTAATCAAACGCCTTAATAAAAGTAAAAGAAAAGTGTCGAACTTACTTTCAAACGCTGTCTAATTTATAAAAGAATTAAATAATTAGAAATGTTTTGGATAGAAGCCTTGTACATATTAAATTATGAATTTTAGAGTGGTTAATTAAACTACCTGCTCCTAGTTCTCTACAGAAATGGTTTTCTTATATTAATAGTAGCCCTGGCTTTACTGAACAGTCTTTTATAAAATCAAAGATGAAATTAAAATTTCAACCCATTCACTATTATGTTGCTTAATTATTGATGAAATGGCAATTAAAAAAACAGACATTCCATATCACCACATATTTTCTAAGAAAATCACATCGTGTAAACAAGTACCTAGTTACAAAATGAAGTAATTTTCTACCGACTGAACACTTCTTTCCTTCTTATGGCTGCATGACAACCCGTTTTCTCTTGCTGATAAACGAAGTTTTTCTTTGCTATACGGTTGGAAATAGTATGCTCCGATAATGTGTAGATAATTTTTAGAAATTGTACGACCATTTACATCATCCAGTTCTATTTATCCACTGTAAAAAACCTACCTGAATCATATCTTCTCTTTCAATCGCAGCGAGGGACGATATAGCGTCCCGACTCCCGTCGAGACATCGCCCCATTCAGCGCAGCGAGAGTCGATATTAAAGCCCCGACTCCGGTAGCGATAGTACTCTATTTAAACTATAAAATAAAATGACCTACATTATTAATTGTATTATGATTTCTTTCGAATTTGCCAATTTTGTTGCAACTTTGCTTATATTTTGCTACCATCATTTTCGAAATTTTCGGAAATTTGTATTTATTGGAATTTTTCGAATTCCTCATTTCTGTTGTGGGTTTTCGTTCTCTTTCTTTATTTCTTCTTACTTTTTATTTTAAACTGTTCAGAAGAGCATAAAATTGAATGATTTTAATTAATGGAAACTTTTTAAGGAAGATTCGACGAGGACGAGTTTAACAATGATTTAGTTTCATTCTTGATCTGTTAACAATTGTTTAAATATTGCATTGTTGTAATGACGTCACGAATGACGTCGATCGTCGTTTAATCTTTTAATTAGTACATAATTTAGATTTTTGAAAAATAAAATATTATATTTTATTTATGCAAGTTTAAATGACTCGGATAACTTAATATAGATCGGTATTTATTGTTAATCGGTATCCGGGTTGTGTCAGACGTATTGTAAAATTTATCGTGGAAGCTGAATATTAAAATGATAAATTGGTCGTTAAAATTTTGAAAATACAACAATTTAATTATTGTTTTAGATGAATAAAAAATATCAGATATATTTTTGATGGAATAAAAACTTTTCCGTTATCGGTATTTATTGTTAATCGGTATCCGGGTTGTGTCAGACGCATTGTAAAATTTATCGTGGAAGCTGAATATTAAAATGATAAATTGGTCGTTAAAATTTTGAAAATACAACAATTTAATTATTGTTTTAGATGAATAAAAAATATCAGATATATTTTTGATGGAATAAAAACTTTTCCGTTCTCTTTATTTGAGTAATCTGAAATGAATCTGAATTTTGAATTCCATTAGTTTTAATTTTCTGCGTAAAATATATAGAAATCCTGGGCTGTCAGGTCTAATACAAGACGTATGGCATAAATTTATTCTCAATTATAAGCTGTTTTTAAAGTTTTCATGATATTCTTGTGAGGACCCGAAAACACTCGGAACAACGCGACGTTATAAAGGAGTTCTATAAAATGATTACGTAAGATTGTTGGTATAAAGACGTGGAAATTTCTTGTAAATAAATATAAAGAAGAAATGCTTTGTCTAATTACAACTTTAAAAAACGAGTTTACTATGTTTCTTCCACTGTCAAGATGGCGACTTCAGTTCTATGTACTGCATGTACTGGCTTCACTTGATTCCAGAGGCTGGCGCTCCAGTATTAAAGTTCCATGATTAGGAATCCTTGACCTAAGACGATGATGTACTGTACAGTTCGGTCGGAACTTGGCGACCAGACGTTCGCCGACCAAATGCTTTCCACGTGTCATTAATAAAACCGTTATAAAAAGTTTTAATTGGCACAAATTAGGACGTTTGTTATCTTGGATGAGATTTCGAATGAAAATAATTCGTTTCCATGTAATTTTATCCTTATGAACGTAAAATGAAGCCATAAAAGCAAAATAGCTCTACAGGGAACCCATATGAATTTTGATCTATCTACCAAAAGTTGCATGAACACCTTGCTAATAATAAGGAAAGCTTAAAATTTAATTAAGTTTAAAATTTAAGCTTTCTAGACCCAGTAGTTTTTCTCTAGGAGCTTCTTTAGTGCCGGAAAACAGAAAAAAAGAAAATAGAGCTTTCTTTGGCGATTTTGTCATTTTTCGATTGCTTATATTTCGGCAACCTCTTTATAGAAAAACCTGAAATTTTGCATTCTACTTAAGAAAACGATTATCTTTCGAACGAGCTATCAGACTTTCTGTAGACATCTGGGGGCGGAGTAATTGACCCCCGAAAATCGGCAACTTCTGATTCCTGTATGTATAGTCCATCGATGACTTTTTCGCCAAGTCTCGATAGTTATAATTTTAATATATTTTAAAAAATTAAAAACTACTTTTACCGATCATATTTTTCGAGAGTATGAGGTAGTGATGTGTCATCCTCACTACATACACCACTACAGTAGAACTCACACACACATACACGCGATTAAATTCCACACTCGGTTACGTTTATCGGGTTTCGGGAGGGGAAGATGTTAGAGTGGACCACTCCGTAAAATATAATTAAAATACATAAAATATTAATCGGACTTAAGCACGTCCTGAAAATTTCGGCATTCGCGTCAATTAGAAATGGACGAAATTTCAATCGAAAGATTTGAAGACAAACAAGGTNAATTGATTTTTAGCATTATTTTGAGAAATAGTTTCAGATTTTTTCATTTTTAAATTTTACCCCAGTTTTGAAGGTCTTGAAATCACCACATAGGCTGATTTGGGGATATATCTTGCATTGGTTCCTTTGAATATTTTTACTCCTTTGGGTGTAGTTTACATTTTAACACCAGAGTGTGCTAGTAGTAGTTATTGGATAATTGTTTTCATAGTGTTAAAAGTTTTAGCGAAAAAAAAAAGATTTTATAATATAAGATGAGTGGACAGGTAAATAAACGCTTTTTGATTTATCAATCTGTAATATAAAAACGTATACAAGAGTAGAGATTACTTTTATTTCTCGATTATGGGGAAAATATGTTCTTTAAGAACAAGCACAGGTTAACCCAAGAGCCATGAGATTATGTAGTAAAATGATCAATTTCACCTCTTAAATTTGAATAAATTCACCATTTATATTCACAATACAACACATTTCCTTCATAAAAATAGTATATTTATCCATCTCTTATGTTTATACACGTAAATATTCATAAATAATCCTACGTGATGTCATTAATCTTCAAATTACTGCATCTTGTCACTAGAATAAAGTAAAACAATCAGTTCTGACGTCATAAAATATGCAAATTACCAATGAAATGTTAAAAATAATCAATTGAAATTTCTATGGAACACGGTTTGACGTGTGATGAGCTTTTTATGTTTAAGAGTACGCAAATTAAAAATGACGATGAAGTTTTAAATGCCAGTTTAATTAGAATAAATCTAAGGAGGTTTAAATATTTGTTGTCTGTCGGTTTGAAGCCAATTTGAATCTTCTGTATCCATTCTCCTTCGTTTACTTATTGAGCAGAGCTCGGCGTAAGTCGGGGTGTTTTTCGTCCTTCGAAGTTGTGACTGTGCGATTGCCGAATGTAATTTTCTGCAGATGTGTGCAACTTGATGGGGACGACATGACGAAGCAGAAATTCTGAAATTTGATTAATGGGTCCAGGTATTTGAGGATTCTTGTGTAAAAATTATGGACTGATTGCCTTTCGTGTGCTGTGTGTCGATCGAGTCTCTGATTGCTGTCAGTTTTTAATTTTAGATTTGTGTATGTTTGAAAACCCACTATTTTTGTACAGTTATAGTTTTTTGTGCCATGGAGCTCGGTTTCCTTTTCCTAGAAAATATCTAGTTTCACTTATAAATTCTGTAGTTTTAATTATTTAAGAATAAAATAAACACTTTATTTCATTAAAACTAAACATAATAAACAAACGTAAGAAAGTGCAATTTATGCTAGAAATATTTTTAAACTCTTGAAATATCTGATTTCTAATAGAAAAATTTTCAAACAGCTCTAATATTAATGTTATTACAGAGACAGAGATAACTTGAGAAGAGTAGATATAACATTTAGACATAATTTGAGATATATAATCATCGCTAAACCCGATGTAATATAGCTAATCACCAAACATATGCCGTAAATCCATCGGGCTAGTTTTAAGGCTAATTACTAAATAAATTACGTAATTAATTTGGCACTAGAGGTAAGCGTTAGGCGCCATCTCTTATTAATATTAATAATTATAAATAAATTAATTAATTTATTTATAATTATTAATATTAATAAGAGATGGCGCCTAACGCTTACCTCTAGTGCCAAATTAATTACGTAATTTATTTAGTAATTAGCCTTAAAACTAGCCCGATGGATTTACGGCATATGTTTGGTGATTAGCTATAATTTGAGATTAAACATAATGTAAAAATGAAAACATATCTTAAAAAAATATTAGTTTCTTAGATATTTTATTTTTAAACATGAAGGCTGTCCAAGTGAACTGTATATGTTTATAAATTTGAGATAATCTGATTTAAGTTCACATAAACTTTATTGTATGAAAAATTTTTGATATAATATTATATATGTTGTTGACAAAAAGCAGTGTCTCCATTTCTTGTCAATATTGAATGTTCTGAATGGAATGGGGAGAGATACAGTACAAATGCAGTTCTGAATGAGGTAATTGGGATCTTAACAAAGCTGTAGACCAGTGTTTCTCAACCTCTAACGAATCGTCTCCCTCCTTCAATAAAACTGTTACATAGTATCACCCCCTTCACTACAAAATACCAATGCTGAGGGCCAAGGCTAATGCCAAATTCGTACTGCATTGAATAGACTAGTGCAGGTATGACCAACATACGGCCCATCTAATGAATTTATGTGGCCCGTGATCAATCTTTCAATATTAGCTACTGAAGTCCGAATTGCTCAATGAAAAATTCTGACGCCTAAAAAAAAAAAAAAATAAAGGTCAACAACTCACGGTGCGTTGAGAGTTAACCCTCCGTTACAAATCTCGTAAGTAGAGTGTAGAATGTTGATAAAGCATGATGATGTGAAAAATGTATCTGTAATCTCTATGTACTGTACAGTTCAGTCTCTACAGGGTGACACCACAATGAGATCTCGCACCACCTCAAAATCTTCCGAGGGCAGCTCTGGTTCGGCCTGTGGAAAAAGTTTCCTTTCCAATTCAGCCCAGGGGCAAAAACTGTTGGCCACCCCTGGACTAGTAACTAGTATAATGTTATTTGTTTAATTATTGTATGATATAATGAATAAAATATCTAATTATTCTTAATATAATGTTTTATTATATTGCCCATAAAATTGTTTTTCACCCCCCCAAAATATAAATTGTTACTAATCGCCTCCTCGATATGGAAAAGTGCCCACATGGGGGTGATATCGACCCCATTGAGAAACACTGCTGTAGACCATGTCCATAGGAACTGATTCTCTGCATGTGACCTTTTGTAAGATATAACTCCCCAAATTTTACCCTTGTTAAACACATAATTTGTTTAATGGAGTGTACAGATGCCTTTGATTGTGCTATGAAGTTAGTCAGTGCAATGGAATTTCTTGTGTTTTATGAGATTTTAGCCATATCTAGTAAGTGGAATTGATTTTTAGCATTATTTTGAGAAATAGTTTCAGATTTTTTCATTTTTAAATTTTACCCCAGTTTTGAAGGTCTTGAAATCACCACATAGGCTGATTTGGGGATATATCTTGCATTGGTTCCTTTGAATATTTTTACTCCTTTGGGTGTAGTTTACAGATCTGATAAGATTCAGAGCTGCAGTTTTACTTTTTTGTGAACGAAGGGATTCACTTGTATAATATATGCCCATAATACATTGTATTTNTATAGAAGATGCGCCACAATTTTTGACATTTTACGGAACGGGAAAGATACCCCAAACAAAGAACGACGCCCAGGGGTATATACCATCCCAATGATTGATCATAGATGGAACAGAAGCCTGATATACGTAGGATCCACTAAGCGCTCCTTAGAGGTGAGAATTAAAGAACACATGGCGGATATTCTACATGCAAGGCAAAACACCGCTCTTGCCGTCTATGCCTCGGATACGGAAATAGAACCGTTATTCAGCCAGGCCAAGGTAATCCGCACTACAAAGTACACACACCACCTTAGATGGCTAGAGGCCCTGTACATATGTATGGCTACGCTTAAAGACGACAATTGCATTAACAACAAAGACGAGATCATCCTGTCAACTGCATGGCAGGTGCTCGTAGACAAAAAGTTACGTTAATTTAGAACCAGCGAAGGGGCGCATGCGTCAATGACGCCAGCGATACGTACGAGAAAATTCGTAATGATGTTCTTTTTTCAATCAAATTTGAATGGCGTTCGCTTGGACATGTTACCTGAGGAAGAACTTAAAGTTCGAAAGCGCTAGTAATACTTCGTTTACAGAGAAGCACACCGGAAACAGGTTCATTGTACGTTGTTTTTTGATTAATATTAAAGTCAAACAGCACCTTTTGATTTGGATGATAACAAAGCATTTAATTAGTATTGCCTTTTCATGTTAAAATATGATTTTAACAGGATAAATCAACCTTTAATGTCTTTCCTTAGGGATCATTCAAATATGATGTTACCAATTTTAAGTCCTTTTTGACTATTTATGCCTTCCTGCCACATTTTGTCAGCAAAGTTTAGACATTCCATGCTGATGTTACATTGATCTACCACCCTGATATTAAAATCAAGCATTTCTGTAAAACAGATCTACAGTACATTAATTTATTCATATTTCCTGCCAAAGCAGGGCTGATAATCAAAATACTTCTGCATAATGATTTTGGTAAAAAATTAATTCAAACAGGAAAATTTTTAAGAATCTTTAGAATATCATCATTCTACTAACATCACCACTCTATCATGTCACAAAATTTTTACATATCCTCCTCCCAGTGTGGATGTCATATTTAAATGACCTCCATATGTTTGACTTTATACTTCACCTCTAGCCATACTGTTAAGAAGTCCATATATAAATGGACGCCTTAATACAGAATGAGAGGAAATACTTTACTTTTTAATCTATAAAAGAAAAGATTATTAGAGAAGAAAAGGGAACAATAATATATCAGAATATATGGGAAATTTAAATTAAAAGAACATACAGAAACTTTTTCTTTAATATTGAGGGAGAGAACAACATTAAATGTTGGTCATATTTGCAAAGTTGATCACATAGGATAAGATTTTATAGTATGTTTTCTATGTGTGCATACATAAAATATAAAAAGGATAACAAAACAAAAGCATTTGAATTTAACTAACGAAATATGCCACTTAAGAAATTACACAAACAAAGGTTCTAAACATTAAATAAATTATCTAAATTCTATGTTAATTTCTATGTTAATTCTATGTTAATTCTATGTTAATTATCTAAATTCTAAGTTAATTTAGTGAAGATGCTCATGCTTATAAATTTTCCCATAATACTACATTTATTAAAGGAGAGTTAACCCTGATCAAGACTTTGAACCCAATTAACTTTTTTTTTTGTTTGAACAGAATGAAATTAGTTGATCCTAATCAATATTCTAACAACTGGGTTGTTTTAATACCCTTTCTACAACTGAGTTAATCTTGAAACAGATTAATGACATGAATCGCAACAGTTTTCTGCTAGAATTAACAAGCAGAAAAAATTGCATCATGTTAACTTAAATCAAGCTGCATTCTGTAAAAACCCTGTATTGACCTATATTATCGTTATTCCTAGTTAACTTGATTGGAATAAATTTATCTAGATTAACTTTTGTTGTCTAAACATAGTATAAGAGTGTTCATCTCACTAGTTCAGATGGCATTCCTTGAGCATATCATAAGCAATTTAGGAGGATTCGCAAGCTTTTTGAAGCTTCATAT